AAAGGACTTGGAAAGTCAGGTTAATTAGTGAAGGCTTTAGAAGTTTTCGGAAGGTGTTGAAACTTTCGAAGGGGTCTAATTGAGAGAGTGGAATTCGCTGTGATGTTAGCTTTTCCCCTTTTTATTTGCTATGGGTTGGTTAACCACATAACCAAGCTTACTAGTACTGTGGAGATAAAATCCCTCAGGCTTTGGTTGAGGACTTCAGAGCATCTTTTTGGAGTTGTACAAACCAGAAACATCTTAGTATCAAACATAACTGACTTGGTGTCAGCACATGAGACTAATTTTTTAGTGCAAAAAATGCTGTCATTAGAAACTTAGAGTATGGAATTTAATTCATGGGCTTAGTGACTTCTATGTCGATGTTTTTATATATCTTGGTATGTTTACTTAGGGTGTTTACTTAGAATTTAAGATTCCTAAGACACTGTCACAATTTTTAGAGCTGGAAGGGCCCCTTCCTTTTGTATTCCCACAGCCTCTTGTGTGTATTACTGCATAGCATTTGAACCATAGTAATTGTGATTGTTTGTGTTTGTCTTTACCATTAAACCATGAATCCTTTGAAGTTAGTGACTGGGTTTTGTTCATCCCTTTTCTTAGTTTTTAGACAGCACACGGTACGGAGTAGGAAGTTCAGTGAATGTTTATTGAACTTAATTAAACCTTCAAATATATGTCTTCTGCCCCCTCGTTCTGCAGATGGGGAAATCGAGGTTTAGAAGGAGGAATCACTCCTGTAAGTTCAGCTAGGAAAGTAACAATAGAGTCAGAAATAAATCCTGGTTTATTTTGATTGCTTAACGTTTTTTGTGGTTGTTTTCCCCTGCTGCCCAGCTTGGTTTGCTAGCTAATTAGCCAGAAGTTGGAAGCATTTACAAGTTGTGGAAACGCAAACCTTCTTTGTTATGAAAACCAATGGCCATGCAAATGTAGCCCTTGTGTTAAATACAGGATTTCTTAGAACCCTCCACTTACTCAAAAGCCAGGAGTCAACAATGCCTCCAGTGTAAAGTTCATTTTCTCTGAAAACACACACACATACACACACAAACAGCACATGCAGGCACACATAAGCACATGACTCAAGGAGAGCAGCTGAACAGGATATTTTGGATGAAATCTTGGCATTTATTGTTCCTTTGTGACCTAGTAAGGTCAAGGGTGCCAGGACTCAAATGGACTTCGGTTCAAGTCCCTCCCTTCTCCTCCATGCTTTTCTGAATGGGGGCGAGGACACCCATCTCAAAGGGTAATTTTGAGCATTAGAGGGAGAAATAGAGTAGTAGTTAGTTTCATTATGAAGTTGCTCTATCACTTTAGTGCAGCCAGCTTGCCTCTCTGGGCCACTGTATTTGTAAAACAGATTAGCTTAGATGGTTTACTGAGTTCTGTGAAGCTGGAACATTCTATGATTCTCCTCCCCTGGGATCTAACTGGACTCTGGATGGAGTGTCGCAAGAACTGGAGACGTAAGGAAAGAGTGATCCTGCGCTGACACAGTGCTGGCTTCTGCCGCCTTGCCAGGGCTCCCTGTTTGATCTCAGCCTTTTATCACAGTGTGTTTGTGCTCTATCCAGGGCTTGCCTGGCCATTGCACCAGTCCCCATTCTGTTTCTCAGGATTTTGGGAAACAGCCAGTGGATGCGGAGACTTATAAGGCAGGATTTCTTCCCGAGAACTGCCTGGATGGTGAAACTCACAAAGTCCTGAGAGATTTCCTGTTTTGTTTTCCACAAGCTCAAGTTCCAATTGATTACAAAAACCACACACACACACACACACACGTACACGCACACACACATGCACACAAACAGAAACACATACACACACACACACACATGTACATGCACACACACATGCACACAAACAGAAACACACACACACACACACACACACACACACGACAGGATGTTCTCTCTCTTCCCATTGCTGAAGTCCAACGCAATCTTCCCATCTGTGTCACTTTCGCCCATGGCCCTGGATTTCCCCATTATGGTAATTAAGCCCTTAGTGCTGGCTGGAGATGTTACAGAATCTTACACCATGAGCAGTTGTGCACGTTAATTTCACGAAGGGGGAACCTGCAAAGGGAGGGAGAAAAGGACTGACAGTCAGCATGACCTCATGCCATCCCATCTGGTTTCTGTCCTCATGAGTGTGCTTCCCTCTGGTGCTAGTTAGAGAAGGGACATTTGTTCTCAGCGTAGGTTCTGGCACCTAGTAGGAACAGTGCTCTTACTGTGTGCCAAACCCCGGTCCAGACACTTTATATGCGAATATTTCATGGAATATGCTTACACTAAAAAAAAAAAAATATATATATGTATATATATATCGTCTGAAATTTAAATCTAACTGGGCATCTGTATTTTTATTTACTGAATCTGGCACCCTTACTTGGTGTTAGTCTCATTGCTCTGCGTGGTTGAACAGAAAAGGCCTACATTGGAGAGTCACAGAAATTCAGGATTCTGCTTCCACCATTCATTTGCTGTGTGATCTTGGGGAAATGGCTTCACTGCTCTGATTCCTACTTTTCTCATCTATAAAATGAGGATCATAATATCTGTATCTCAGGACTTTTGTGAGGATTACATTTTTTAAATGCATTTAAAGCACCTTGCACTATACAATTGAGTGTTTCGTGAATATTAGCTTTTATTATAATTTTTCTTATTTCTTTGGGTCACTGCCCTTAACTCGGGAGAAATTAGATAATTTGCTCATTCTTAGGAGAGGATGTGGAAAAGAATTTATGATGGGAATAATTGGTATCTTTTTGTGGAAGCCTCTGGGAGAAATGTGATGGAGACTTACACAATAACATTCTTGATAGACACCTTCTCCTTCTAGATCCGTGTTCTGGGTTGGTAAGGATGGAGCCCCCAGACCCACTTTATACAAACATGCTCTTTTGAACAATGCAGGATAGAAAAAGTGGCATCTGAATAATTAAGTGTTGTTGGTTTTAGGCAATGTGCAACATTCATTTAAAAAGCACACAGAAAGTGAAAAAATATAAAAGCAAAGAAAAAGAAATACAGAAAGCACACAGAACTGGCAAGGCATACACCTGGAAAAGGAGTAAGAGATCAATATTCTCTGGCAGCGTCAATTTTAAAGAGAGCTGTCAGGCCAGGCGCAGCGGCTCATGCCTATAATCCTAGCACTCTGGGAGGCTGAGGCAGGAGAATCACTCAAGGTCAGGAGTTTGAGACCAGCCTGAGCAAGAGTGAGACCCCGTCTCTACTAAAAAATAGAAAGAAATTAACTGGACAACTAAAAATACATAGAAAAAATTAGCTGGGCATGGTGGCGCATGCCTGTAGTCCTAGCTACTCAGGAGCCTAAGGCAGGAGGATTGCTTGAGCCCAGGAGTTTGAGGTTGCTATGAGTTAGGCTGACTCCATGGCACTCTAGCCTGGGCAACAGAGTGAGACTCTGTCTCAAGGAAAAAAAAAAAGAGAGAGGGAGAAAGAGAACTGTCATACATTCAGAATCCTTGATGCCTTGAAATGTCAGTGTCAGCATCAAGCACACATCGAAGGTATCTTCCACACATGAGCCTGAGGGAGGGGAAGGTAGTACAAGGTAAAACTTGAATCCTGTCCAGAACTGAATGGAAGAAGTGGCTTCCAAGTTCTCTTTACTATCAAATATTAATGATCACCTTTTCAGTGTCCATTCATTTATTTGCCGAATATTGCCTGAGTAACTGTGCCAGGTCTCGTAAGAGTACCCATGCGAATAAGGCCTAGCACTTGCCCTTGCCAGGATCAGCTTCTGTTGGGTGAGGCAGGCAAGGCAGTGTGATAGTGGGTATTGTCTAGTGTGTTACGGTGTCCAGGAGAAGGGCATGATTTCAGGCTTGAGAAAGTCAGGGTGGGATTCCCAGAGAAAGAAGTGTTTCCTTCGAGACCAAAAGAGCGAATTGGAGTGCAAGGAGGGAAATATTGCAGGCAGAGGACAGAATGTGTTTAAGAAAAAATAAAAAGGACAACAAAGCACATTGCAATTAAATAAAATATTGTCCTTTAGACCAATAGTCAACAAAGTATGGCTCCCAATCTGGCCTGCTACTTGTCTTTGTGAATAAAGTTTTATAGGAACACAACCATATCCATTCATTTAAAGTATTCTCTATGCCACTTTGTAGCATTTTCTACTACAAAGGCAGCGTTAGGTAATTATGGCAGAGACCCCCTGGTTGCAGAGCTGAAACTATTTACTATCTGGCCCTTTACGGAAACAGTTTGCTGTCTCCTAATTCAGAGCACACTTTACATAAACAAGAATTCACCCTTGGAATTCACCTTTTGGAAATGTTAGTGGTTGCGTGAGAATGGATGACACTATGCAAAGAAGTTTCAGAAGAGTGGCGAGACACGAGCCTGGGAGGGAGGTCAGGAGCTCGATCAAGGAAATTAGACTTTGTCCTGAGAATTGTGGGACACCTCTGAAGGTTGTTAAGCAGAGCAGTGAGGTGGTCGGTCTCCTCCAGAGGCTGTGCAGCAGCAGGGTGTTTGAGAGGGCAGCCTCTGGAGTCAGACTGCCTTGGATTGGACCTTAGCTGTCTTGCTTACTAGCTGTGAACCTCAGGCAAATCACTTACTTTCTGGATGCCTTAGTTTCCTAATTTGTAAAATGGGAAATGATAATCATAATCATAGTCATGCCATCTATTATGTAGGGTTGTTGTGAAGATTAAATGTAATATATTAATATGGGTAGAGTACCAGGCCCAGGGGAAGTTCTCAATGGATGCTGTCACTGTTGTTCCTCAATGATAATTCTGGCTGCTGGGTAGGGAATGGCTCAGGATGGGAGAACCTGGTGGTGAAGTGCTAGGGATCTAGGCAACAGATGGTGTCCTGTGCTTAGCAGGGCTGCTGTAAAGCCTAGGTTGGCTAACGTCACGGCCATCAGCACATTTACTCTCAACCTCTCTCTACTACCATTGTCATCATTGTCTTTTCTGTCCCCCTTTATTCCAGGCCTTCAAGAGTGCCCTGATGAGTTCCTACTGGTGCTCGGGGAAAGGGGATGTGATCGATGACTGGTGCAGGTGTGACCTCAGCGCCTTTGATGCCAGTGGGCTCCCCAGCTGCAGCCCTCTTCCCCAGCCTGTGTACGTATGTATGGCCCCCTTTCCTTTGGCCACCCCTTTTCATGAACTCACACTCCTGTCTTGCCAGCACAGGCCTCGACTTGCTTCTGTCCCCAAGGTGCCTGACCAGATCCCTGAAGTCCCTGGGGCCTATTCCTTTTTTAGGCAAGAAGGGAGTTTTGGCAGAACAAAAACATGGCTCAGGGGTGTGTGCTGATATATAAGTGTGTGCTATTTTAAATGATGCCACTCAGTCCATCATCCCTTCTTTCACTAATCCATTCAGCAAAGGTTTACTGGACAATGGTCTGCTGCTTTGTCAGGTACTACGCTGGGCACTGGGGCCACTGAGAGATAAAGAAAATATACAACCTCTTGTAAGGAACTTCATTTTATCCATTTATCTGACAAATAATTTGAACACCTGCTATGAGTCAGGCACTGGGAAATAAGTCAATGAACAAGACAGGCACGGTTCCCACGCACTTAGGAAACTGAAAGTCTAGTGGGGGAGATAGACGCCAAAGCAAAAACAGGAAAATAAGATGCAGTTTAGAATTTTAATTAAGAAAAATATGAAGGAAAACCAAAGAGGCGCTAATAGGGAGAATAATGGGGAGCTATTTTAGTTGGGAAGTGGGGGAATAGTGAGGGAAACCTCTCTGAAGAGACAGTGGGTTATGGTAGGAGTCAGCCAGGCAAAAAGTGGCAAGGATGATATTCCAGGCAGGAGGAACAGCATATGTGAAGGCCCCGGCACTGGAAATTCCCCATTCGGGGAAGTAAAGGAAAGCCAAAGAGTGCGATTAAACGGAAGAAGGGACGTGAGGAGCATGAGAGGGGTTGAGCAAGGGCCAATATTGAAAACAGAGTCCCATGATACAGCTCTGTAGGGAGAGAAGAATCACACTGCAAGGTGGTCCTTAAAGGGATGGTGTGTGGAGTGGAAAGGAAGAAGGAATCTGCGATGGGGATAAGCCACATCACCATCATGACCCTGGCCTCACCTGACCTGCTGTGTGACTGTGTGCAAGCCATTTCCCTTTTCTGGGTCTTTCCCCAGTTTGTGAAATGAGGGGATTAAACTTCATAATCTCTAAGGACTATTCTAGTTCTAGCCTTCAATCATTCTGGTTTTTTTTTTTTTTTTCTTGCTTTACATAAGGATTTATTCCAGGATTTTTTACTCCTTTCGAGAGAGTATTAACGTAAGGATATTAAACAGTTTACTGATACATTGGGGGTAATGAAGAGAATGGCGAAAAGATTGAAAGCTCCTGCATTTGAAGGGATTGCCCATTTAATAAACATGAAGCATCACTGAAAATTTACTTTAAATAATTGGAAAACTAATCAGCTTCCATCGAGCACATATTGCGTGCATGGGTTAATTTACTGAATTATACATTGATCTTGAAAGGTGACTCTTTGTATCCCCATTTTATGGATGAGCGAACTGAGGCCACGAGAGGCCAAATAACTTACTTAAGGCCCTGCGAGTTGGTGGTGGGTAGAATCAGGATTCAAACCCAGGCTAAAACCTGTGCTTCATCTTGACACATGCAGACTCTTTTGGGTCCCGGCTAGTGCTGGCTGGCAAACAGGCAATTTTCCCTTTCACCCTCTGTAGACTGCGGCTGTCTCCAACAGTGGAACCCTCCAGTACCGTGGTCTCCTTGGAGTGGGTAGACGTTCAGCCAGCTATTGGGACCAAGGTCTCCGACTATATTCTGCAGCATAAAAAGGTGGATGAATACACAGACACTGACCTGTACACAGGTAGGTACATGACTTCCCGTTTTCTTGAGATAGTATAACACAGGAGGGAAACTGGGATTTTCTAATGTTTTTGGAGACGTGGTGTCATCTGGCTTAGGAAAACATTGGGAGGTTTCATTGTTTAGTGATGTTTTTTTTGGTGCTCATCCTTATGCACTTTTTTGTTTGACTTTGAGGAAGGAAAGATAGCAAGTGGTAGTTTCTGATTCTCTGAATGGGACCTTCAAAATCATCCATCATACGGTTACTTGATTCTGAAGAAGATTTGACCTTTCTCTATTTGGGAAGGCCTCATGTTTAAAGCCTTGGTTCATAAATATATTATCTCTGGTACTGAGATGAGGAAGGTCAGACGATTGCCTTTCTAGTGAGATGCACTGAGATAGCCTTCCTTAACCAATGCAGGGAAAGAGAGCATTGGAAATGATTTGAGCTTACTGGAACATTTGAGAAAGGTGGCTTATAAGAGGGCTACCTGTGGTTGTAATTCAGAATGTTATCTCTGAGTTCTTCTAAATCTCTTACACTGCCAAGAAGCTAAGCATTCGCCTGTATTCTGGCCTGGGGGCTTACATTCTCTGCTCTGCATTGGGACTTCCATTCAGTAATTTTTTTTTCAGTCAGAAAATATCAATTGTGCATCTACTTTCTGTAGAAGGCATCGAACTAAGTACTTTGTTCAGCATGTTTTCGAATCCTCACAACTTTAGGAGGGTTATTGTTCATTGCGCCCATTTCACAGATAAAGAAATTGAGACTAATCCAAGATTATCCAGCTAGTGATAAGCCTTCAAATTCACAATTTTAAGTCCTAAACCAAGACTAGATTATTGAAGAATTTAAAGAAGTATAATAATAATTATTTGGTTATTTTGCCTAATTACATTATAAACGCAAGGAGGAAAGATGATGTTTGTGTCTTAATCATAGCTTATTTCCCAATACCTACCATTCATTCATATATTTGTTGAATAAATGAAAAATGAATGAATGAATGAATGAATGAATGGACCCTTATTGTTTCCTTTTCTTTTACTGTCTCCTTCTCTTCACCCTGTCTTTCTCCTCCATTTATTACTCCCCTCTTTGGGCTATTTTTGCTATGCTTCCTCTGAAATTGTGAAGAAAAGAGTAAAATGAGGCTAAGAATGTAAAAATAAGTCAGACAGAGAGAGGTCCAGACCCTGGATGCAATGAGAAGCCCAGTTGGCTAATACCTGGGATGCTGGGATTCATGTGGCTTGTTTGAGGCTGTTGGCTGAAGGGGGTGGGGCAGGCTGGAGTGGGCATCACTTTCTCAGAGGGGCCAGTCATAGCACAGTAACTGGGCAGCTCGCTTTGCCTCGTCTCTTGAACTTTGTTAATCCTTACAGTCTTTTGACTTTGTGTGTGATGCATACATGTGCAGCACTGTGTGTGTGTATGTGTGTGTGCAAGTTTATGTGTATGTGTGTTTATGTTCATCTGGTTACACTTTATTTTTATGTGGGTGAGATTTGCTACTATCTGTGAATGGGTGTGTGCTCTTTTGGATGTCTCTGTTTTGGTGGAGAGCTATTTTAAATAGCAGAGTTTGTACACCACACAGATTACCGGGGAAAACGGAAGTCCTCCAATGGTGGGTCTACACTTTAACAATAATGCTTCACATCTCCATAGCAGGCCATTCTTCTCAGAATTAGAACAAAAATAAAATTATGTAAGGTAAGAAAGATTATCAACCTCGTCTTACAGAAAAAGTGAGTAAATCCGCTGAGAGGTATGAGACTTTCCTCAAGTCCCACAAACGTATGTGGCAGAGCCAGGCTTTATAACCAGGTCTGTCTGATTCCCAGTACAGGGCTTGTCCTTGTATACCATGCAGTATCTATATCGAAACTCAAGTGTTGTATTTTCCACAAAGGTTTCTTGACCTTGTCAGCACAAAGTCCTCTCCCTCTCTTCTAAACGTAGGGCACTCATTTTTTCTATCATTACTTTGGGATACTCCATCCATTCCCTTGAAGTACCTATTGTAATATCAGTGTACAGTTTTAGGGTTAGAAAGATCTTAAGAGATCATCTAGCCCTATTTATTTATTTTTATTGTTGCTGTATTTGCCTTTGGGGTCTTAGTCATCAATTCTTTGCCTCGGCTAATGTCTAGAAGAGTTTTCCCTACATTTTCTTCTGGATTTGTTATGGCTTCATGCCTTACATTTAAGTCCTTTATCCATCTTGAATTAATTTTTGTATATGGTAAGAGATAGGGATCCTGTTTCTTTCTTCTGCATGTGGCTATCCAGTTTTCCCAGCACCATCTATTGAATAGGGCTTCCTTTTCCCAGTGTATGTTGTTGTCTGCTTTGTCGAAGATCAATTGCTTGTAGGTAGAATGGTTTTATATCTGGGTTTTATATTCTGTTCCATTGATCTGTGTACTTTTATATCAGTGCCATTCTGTTTTAGTTACTATAACCTTGTAATATAATTTGAAGTCTGGTAATGTGATGCCTTCAGATTTGTTCTTTTTGCTTAAGAACAATCCCACTACTGGGTATCTATCCGAAGGAAAAGAAGTCATTTTATCAAAAAGACACCTGCACTGAAATGTTTATTGCAGCACAATTCATAATTACAAAGTTGTGGAATCACATCAATTCATGAGTGTATTAAAAAAATGTAGTGTGTGTGTGTTTTCTATGTGCATGATAGTGTCATCTGCAAACAGAGACAATTTTACGTCTCTCTCTCCAATTGGATGACTATTATTTATTTATTTGTTTTTCTTCTCTAATTGCTCTGGCTAGGAATTCCCATGATAAGAGCAGACATCTTTACCTTTTATCCTACTCTTAGGCCAAAAAGCATTTAGTCTTTTTCCATTATGCTCCTCTATTTTTTTTTTTTTTGTAGGTATCCTTTGTTAGGTTGAAGATGGTATCTTCTATTCAGAGTTTGGTGAGAGGTCTTTGTTTTGTTTTAATTAGGAATGAATATTGAGTTTTCTGTGTTTATTGAAATGATTGTGCAGTTTATCATTCTTAAGTTTATTAATAGGGTAAATTACATTGACAAATTTTCAAATTATAAAACAACCTGCATTCCTGAGGTGAATCCCACATGGTCATGACACACTGTCTTTTTTATATATTCTTGGATTTTATGTGTTTAAATTTTGTTCAGGATTTTTGCATCTATGTTAATGAGGCATTTTGATCTGTAGTTTTCTTATGATGCCTTTGTTTGTTTTGCAGTCAGGATCATTCTAGTCTCACAAGATGAATTGTGAAATATTCCCTTGTTTTCAGTTTTCTGAAATTTATTTACCTTCTCAAAGAATCAGTTTAGCTAAAATTAGTAATAGTTCTTTATTAATTGTTTGGTAGAATTCACTAGTGAAGTCTTCTGGCCCTGGTCCTATTCTTGCAAGAAGGTTTTTAGCTACTAATTTAATTCCTTAATAGGTATAGGGCTATTCTGATTATCCATTTCTTGAGTTATCTTTGACAGGTGTGTCTTTTAAAGAATTTGTTCATCTCGTGAGTTATCGAATTTATTGACAAAAGTTGTTCATATTGTTATTACTCTTTAAATACCTGTTGAATTTATAGGGATATGACTGTCATTATTGATATCGGTAATTAGTGTCATCTCTCTTTTGTTCTTGATCAGTCTGGCTAAGTGGCTATGAGATTTATCTTCTCAAAGAATCAGCTTTTAGTTTTTTCTTGTTTTCTATTTCATTGATTTCTACTCTGATATTTATTATCTCCTTTCTTTGGCTTATTCTGGGTTTGGTTTGTTCTTCTTCTTCTTCTTTTTTTTTTCTTTTTGTATTTTTAAGATGATACCTGAAGTTACTGCTTTGAGACCTTTCTTGTAATATACACATTGCCTTTTACTGCTGCTTTAGTGGCATTGCAAAGATTTTGTTAGATTGTGTTTTCATTTTCATTCAGTTTAAAATACCTTCTATTTTCCTACTTATTTTCCTTTGATCTATGGGTTATTTAGAAGTATGTTACTTAGTTTCTAAATATTTGAGGATTTTTCAGATATTTGTCATTGATTTTTAATTTGATTTCACTGTACTCAGAGAATATACTTTTTATGATTTTAAACATTTTAGATTTATTGAGACTGGTTTTATGTCTAGAATATGGTCTATCTTTGTATTCAGTGTCCACTTTAAAAGAATGTATTCTGTTATTTATAGGTGGAGTGTTCTATAAATGCTAATTACATCAAATTGGTGATTGTGTTGTTCAATTCTTCTAAAGCCTTTCTGATTTTCTGTCTTACTTATTCTTATGCCCGTAATTGAGAGAGTGGTATTGAAACCTCTGACAGTTATTGTGGACTTAACTATTTCTTCTGTGCTTTTATCAGTTGTCACTTGATGAATTGATCCCTTTGTCATTGTGAAATGGTCTTCTGCATCCCTATGATAGTCTTTGCTCTGAAATCTACTTTGTCTGATATTAATATAACTACTCCAGCTTTCTTCTGATTAGTGCACTCTTAACTTTAAATTAGGATGTTTAGGCCATTTACAGTTAATATGATATTGGTATGGTTAGGTTTAAGTTTATCATCTTGTTATTTGTTTTCTATTGCCCCATCTTTCCTTTCTTCTTTTTTTTTTTTGTATTTTCTTTAGGATTGTTTTTATGATTCTGTTATATCTCTTTTGTTGACTTATTACCTATAATGTTCTGTTGTTATTTTAGTGATTGCTTTAGAGTTCATGGTATGAATATTTAACATATCACAGTTACCTTCAAGTGATATTGTACCACCTCATGTACAGCAGAAGACCCTTACAATAGCATATTTTTCTTTCTTTCTTTCTTCTAAACTTTTATACTGTTTTTGTCATATATTTTATTTATACATGTTAAAAAATCCATAAATGAGTTTAATTATTTTTCCTTAGTTATCTTCTAAAAATATTTAAGAAATAAGATAAATGATTTTATATATTTACCCATAAAATATTATTTTTGGTGCTCTTCATT